CTCTTGGGCCATCTTCGAGCCATCGTGGAGGCTTCTTGGGCCATCTTGAGCTGACGGAGCTCGAAAAGGCGAGAAAGCGAAAATCCTTCCAACACCATTGGGAAATAACTCATTTTTGCTTGTTCGGCCCCTGTTGGAGCTCCTCTTGAGGCCCTTGTGGGCCCTCTTGGAAACACTTTGGGCCGTCTAGGGGCCACATTCGGCCGTCTTGGGACCATCTTGGCCCGTCTGCGAGGCGTTTTGAGCCATCTTGGTTGTTCGAGTTGCCTGCCTTCGCCGTCTCGGGCGCTCGGGATGCGGACACGCTGTTCTTGCTGCGAGGGATCGTGGCCTCGGGAGCGTATGCGGCTGTCTGGTAGCAGAAGGGGGGGCCCTACGGAGCAGCACCTGCCGTTCTAACAGGCCCACATCGTGCAGGCACGGTGGCAAATACTCTGGATGGGGCAATCATCGCCCCCCCCCTGGATATGCTGGGAGGGTTGGGCACGTGCTGTCGGAACGGGTGGAGGGGGGATTGGAGCAGGAGGAGGAGAAAGATGAGGGGTTGGAGGAGGATGAGGAGGTGGAGGAGGTGGAGGAGGCGTTGGGGATGGGCAAGGTCCGTCGGAAGGTTAGTCGCCCACACCTCGATTAACATCCAACCCAGAGTATGTCTTTTAGTTGTCCGTTTTGTCCTTGTTGCGATTGCTGTTTGGGCCCTTCAGGGGCCTGCAGTGTCCTCCCGGAACTTCTTCGAGGACGGGGGCCTCCGGTCGGCAGGCCCCCTTCCCTCCGACACGGGGTGCCTCGAGGGTAACACCCTGCAGCTGGCCTGTCGCCAGGTTTGGCCTCCAGGGGTCCTCGGGGCTGTCAACGCGACAGATCGGGCCAGAGAGCTGCCCCCCCAGGGAGGGAGTCGAGGAGTCCAGGGGGCCGATGCGTCGGCAACCGTCGAAGCGCCGGATGTCTGGACTTCCTCCCCGCTCCGGGCGCAAGAGACGGGGGTCAATGCTAGCGGGGGTCAGCCAGAGCGCTGGATCTTGCAGGATCCTGCAGGCTAGGGGTGCACTGACCCGGGCTCGGGTGCAGGATCCTGCAGGATCCTGCAGGACACTGCAGGGCCCGACTGGCCCAGATTCGGATTACCCGGGTCAGTAGATCCCCGACCCTCTCCTCCCTCCCCTTTCAGTGCTGGTCTTTCCGAGGGTCTCGCACTCGAGGAGCTGAGGGGTTGGCATCTCGCTCCCGTGAGAGGCTGGCGGGGGGTCGGCGGGAGTCGTGCCGTGGTCAGATCGACGGCGGCTCTGCCAGCGGAAACCAGGCGTCAGCCCGGCTGAAGCACCCTTCGTGCGCTATGCGTTGTCATGCTTGCACTCTTAAACTCATATGTTCCAGGCCTGGGCCAGTAGTGAAGAAAGCGAGGCTTGCGAATTTGGTTGCCTTAGACAGAACTCTGGAAAGTATAATGTTTGTTTTAAGGTGTGCACGTATCTGCATCTATTCATATATACAATGTGTAGGTGCACGTATATATATATGTATATATATATATATGTATCTGTATATGTATACATATATATGTACGCACATAAGGTATAATGACTACACATGTTCGCACACACACGTTTACATTCATGTCTATCCAGGTTTGTATATCAGTATTCCTATAACGTAGATCGTCCGTAGCCCTTCGGGGCTCAAACTATGTCCGCAGCATTTCGCCCACAGACCCAACCGTTGTCCACATGCCCTTGCGTGAACTTGTTATCCCTTTTGTGGTGCTACCCTTTGGAATCGATGCTTTGCTTCTTCAGCGTAATACTGTTCTAGACGGCTGCGCCGATAAGCAATCGTTTCATTATTGGCGCCACTGCGATTTGGGTGGATATTCGAACAGCCCTAGGATTTCCAAGAGTGCTGAACATAGAGCGCAAGGCGGCTATAAATGTGCGGCAGAATCTGCGATTTCGAGTCCTTCAGAAGACCAACTCACCAATGACAAGTACGAAACGGACATGTCGCAGATTTTGTCCAGTATCGCGCCGGTAACTGATGCGGTTTACGTTCTGTGCACTCGCTGCCATGATCTGAGGGTGCCCCAGCATTTGCACAACGTTCTTCTCATTGATGGCTGGGAAACCGATAAATGTATGCCGAGCGGCTGCAGATATGTTATTCATGATGAGTGTTTTCATCCAGCACGAGTGGGGAACACTAATGACAGCACAACAATGATGCACAACAGTAGGGTCAGCTTTGCTCACCGAGCAGCCGTGGCGCACGCAAGAAGTAGCAACTACTCAAATATCACGATTCTCGAAGAAGATTTGATGATTAACCCGATGCGCGAGCAGCTTCCAGACTTTGCTCGAATATCACGTCAACTACAGTTGCGCTTGGCAGAGAATCGTAACCAGTTGGTTCGGTTCACCTCGCTGCCGGTGATGCTGGAGAAAGGTGGGGCGTGCAAGCACAAGAGCTGCAAATGCCACAGCGTAACGTTAGACCTGTGCTTATTCAGAAGGCTTGCGCCATCTCACCGGCACTGCATAGATTTCGGGCATGAGGGGAGCGACCACCCAGACGATTCATTCTGAGACACTGGCACACGAGCGTGCCTGTGCAGTCCCCGATCGTGCTTTGTCGAGCGATGCGCGCTTCGCCAGGTACAGTCCGCTTGCTTGTGGACGTCGATCACTGGTTCCGCCAGGCTGCACCCGGACTGCGGTGCCGCGCGCGGTCGTGGAGTGCCCCAGCAGCTTTCGCTAAAGGGCGCTGTGCTGTGCTAGAGAGGCAGCGTGACAATATTCGAAGAGCATCGGAGCTCAACGCAAGTCGCTGGGCTGAGGTACAGTCGACCCGCACAGTAACCATGGGTAACCTTCCCAAGGGTATCCTCGCATCCTTGCATCCTCGAACCATCCTTAGCCATCTTTGCTTGCCAGCCGCGTTCGAAAAACTTGATCGTGGCCCTCCAAGGCCATTGCGTCCTGATCGCGCATCCTTATGATGCGGTTTGACTGTAGGCGTACACAGCAGTGGACTTTTTGGGGCCAGCATCGGAGTGGGCTGTCGGAGGAGGCAGGAGGAGAAGACGACCGCCGTGGTGGGAGCAGCAAGGAGTGCGAGAGGCGGCTAGAGCAGCTCTAGCCTCGAACAGGGAACACCCCCTGTTACAGGCAATCTGTATAGTAAGAATGGGCAGCCTTCCACGCATCCTTGCCTCCTCGGTCCATCCTCAGCCGCTCTCGTTGGCCGCGCTCCGTTCGAGAAGGTTTCGAGATGGGCGTCCAAGGCCCTTGCGTCCATGTCGCGCCTCGTGATGATATGGGCCGACTGCAGCCTCGAACGGCGAAGTCCCTGTTACTCATGCTCTGGTACTCCTAGAAGGAGGCGCAGCAGTTCCAGAACCTGTCGAATGATCAGGGCTGGGGGTGGACAGGGATGACTTTTGATTCCGGCCTCCCGTTTTCGCGCTTGGGCTCCCCCATATTGCATTCAACTCGAGTTTTCCCGTACCGCCCCATGTAGAGATTGCCCAGAACGCTCTTGAAATAGGAATAATCCGGATCAAGTGGTTCCAGAGATCTCCCGGGTGACATTTGGGAACGCCAAACAGGGCTCTACCCTGACCAGGTCTATCTTGGATTCGTCGGGTGCCCAACGGTTGGTGAGCCCGCACAGCGGGGACTAGCGCGCAAGTTTCCAAGTCAGTGAGGATTGGGGGATGTGGTTAGTGCACGTGTGTGTGTGTGGCCCTGGGGTTGCATCTTTGCCACACGGCTTTACAAGGAAGCGAAGTGTGTTGCCCGCGACTCGGCTCAATCTTGGCACCAGCTGACTGGACCTTTCAGCGCGTCGAGGGGAACTTATGTTTGTGTGTAGTCCTCCGTGACGCCTTTTCGGCTCGCTCGCGGTCGCTCACATCCCTCTGCCACTCTACTTCCTGGGCCTGGCGTATTCGTTTTGTGTATCTCATGCCTTCGTGCCCTGCTCGAGCCTGATGTTTGGGGCTCATCGGCCAGCTGTGCCCGTTCCCCTGAGCTTCCTTGCTTCGTTCACGCTGCCACATGAGGTGCTTGATTACATTTGCACGCGTCCCTTCTCCTAGGTGGGGATTGATCCATGACCATCGCATGGGGGATCGATCTTCGGGGACCTCGCCAGGAGTCGGAGATGGATATATTCGGGCCTGCTGGGGTCAAACTATATCCATATCCACTGCCCGCCGGGGCCTCAGGACGTCGGTTCCCCAGGCGGTGGATATGGATGGTTCCCCTCCTCGTACCTTTTTCGTTGCGCTTGGGCCGCTGATTGCTCACCATCGGCGCGCCTGAAGACCAAATATGTTTGCGTGTGAGGAATCTGTTGGTCTGTCTTGTGTCGTGTGGCCCTAGTGGGTCTTTTTGGCGCTCGGTGGGTCTTTCTTGGGGTTATCTTGGCGTCCTTTCGGGGTTGTTGCGACCGTTTCGGAGAGTATTGGGGCCGTGAGGGGGTGTTGTGGCTGTCTTTTGGCTGTCTTGGGCCGCCTCGAAGCCGTTAGTGGTCCGTCTTGGAGGCCAGCTGGGGATTTCTTGAGCGCTATGTTAGGGTTGGGCTGTCTGGGGGCCGTTCGGGGAATCCAGAGCCGCCCTGAGGAGGCTGGAAGTGATGTAACATATGTGAGTATACGTATGTATCCGTACAACTGTGTACATGCTTACGTATGCATTTGGCGCAACCATATTTATACATTCAGATGTATGCACAAACGTATATAGATCTGCACATATGCTTATGTGTTTATGCATGTATGTACATGTAACAGTTTATTTAATCGCTTCGCTCATTCCGCCAGCCCATACAGTCTCATGTCTGCCGTTTGCCCGAGGGCCTGGTGTCAATGCGGCGCTTTGGGGGTTCCTGGGGCCGCTTGGGGGACTCCTGGGGCGCTCGGGGGGGCATTTGGGGGGCCTCCTGGGGCCGCTTGGGGGACTCTTGGGGGCCTCCTGAGGGCCTCGTGGGGGCCTCTTGGGGCCTCTTAGGGGCCTCTTGGGGCCTCGTAGGGGCTTCTTAGGGCCGAGGGCTCGAAATGTTGTTTCGTGTTCCCTCTCTGGGGCCCCTTTGGGGGCGTTCTTGGGGCCCTCTTGGACCGTCTTGGAGGCTTCTTGGGCCGTCTTCGAGCCCTCTTGGGCCATCTTGGGGCCCTCTTGGGGGCCTCTTGGGCCCTCTTGGGGCGATCTTGGGCCTCTCGGGAAGCCGAAAAGGTGGAAGCTCCAAAATCTCAAAAACCTAAGGAAAAAATGAATTTTGCCTCCGGGGGCCCTCTTGGGAGTGCTCTTGGAGGCCTCTTGGGGCGTCTGGGGGCTATCTTGGGCGTCTTGGAGCGATCTTGTGGCATGTCGGACCCCTCGTGTACCATCTTGGGGGCCTCTTGGGGGCCTCTTGGCCTTTCTTGGGGCTCTCGGGGACGTCTCGGAGCCCTGTTGGTGCGCTCATGGGGCGCTCCTGGAGCGCTCTGGGGGAGTCTCCCGGGGATCGGTCGGGGATCGCCCGGGGTACTTGTCGTCCGGGGACCCCCAGGGGCCGCCCCGCGCGCGCGAACTAGAGAATTGTTAACCAGTTACCGGAGATCTTAGCACGCCTCTGGCCCGTTGGGCCGGCGAATATATGCGTGTATATATATATACAAATATAGATAGATAGGTACATGCTTGCCTGCCTACCTGGCCGTGTCTGTAGATCTATGCATGCACATGTGCATACATACACACATGCATATATAGACATGTATCAGTGTGTATACACATCTATGTATATATATATATATATATATATATATATATAATATATATATATATATATATATCACCTCGTAAGGGCTTCGCCCCCTGCCGCTGGCCCCCTCTCTATCACAATGGGGTATATCAGAGTCGCGTCGGTGCGTCTCGGCGCTGCATTGGCGCATCTGGGAACATCATGCGGGGGCGGACAGGGATCATCAGCGCAGATTGCGACGTTGGCGCTATCGAAGACGCCTACGGCGAATCACCGCCGCCCCCTGCCTTTTTTGAAGCGCCTGCGTGGCCGTAAGTTGGGTTTGAGCTTGGCCAAGCTATTGGGCCACGCGTTCCCCGAGTGGTTTTCGAAAGCCTTCGGGGAACACGGAGTCGGGCGAGCTATCAGACCAGGTGGTTTCCGAGCTTTCGGGCCTTCCTGGAGGACGTCTTGGAGGACTCTTGGGCCGTCTTGGAGGCCTCTTGCGAGCTTTTTGGGCAGTCTAAGGCCATCTTGAGGCCATCTGGGGCCGTCCTGGGTGCATCTTGGGGCCATCTGCGCTGGCTTGGAGGCCTTCTGGCCGTCTTGGATGCATCTTGGAGGCCATCTTGGCGATCTTGGAGGCCATCTTCGGCGTCTTCGGGGCCATCTTGGGCCATCTTGGGTCGTCTTGGGGCCGTCTTGGGGCCCTCTTGGGGGCCTCCAGGGCTGTCATGGCGCCATCTTGGAGGCCTCTTGGGCGCTCTTGGGACGATGTTGGGGGCCTCGTGGGCCGTCTTGGGCAGTCGGAGAGCTGATAAGAAGAACATGCCGCCAAACTCATCCAAAAGCCTAAGGACAAACAATGATTTTGCCCTTTCGGGTCTTCCCAGAGGGCGTCTTGGAGGCATCTTGGGGGCCTCTTGGCCAGTCGTAGGCCATCTTGGAGCCATCTTGGACCGTCTTGGAAGCCATCTTGGACCATCTTTGGCGGACTTGGAAGCCATGGCGTGCCGTCTTGCCCGTCTTGGAGGCCTTTTGGGCTGTCTTGGGACCCTCTTGGGGCTGGCCTGGGGGCCTCTTGGACCGTTCTGGAGCCATCTTGGAGACCTCTGGGACGATTTTGCGGACTCCTTGGGCCGTCTTGGGCGGTCGGAGCACCAAAACGGAAGAAAAGCCCAACTCCTTCAAAAACCTGAGGACAATCAATGATTTTGGTTCCCTCGAGCCTTCCTGGCGAACCTCTTGGATTCCTCTGGGGCCATCTGGGCCGTCTTAGCGGGCATCTTGGCCGTCTTGGAGGTCATCTTGTCCGTCTTGGAGGCATCTTGGAGGTTATCTTGCCCGTCTTGGAGCCCATCTTGGGCGTCTTGAAGGCCTCTTGGGCCGTCTTGGGGACGTCTTGGGACCGTCTTGGAGGCCTCTTGGGCGCTCTGGGGGCGATCTTTCGGCCCTCTGGAGCCGTCGTGGGCCGTCGGACAGCTGGAAAATAGCACAAGCCAACATCCTTCCAAAACTTACGGAACACCATTCATTTTGGCATCGTCGGGCCCTCGTGCAGGACCTCTTGGAGGCCTCTTGTGCCGTCTTGGAGGCCTCTTGGAGGCCTCTTGGAGGCCTTTGGGGCCGTCTTGGTCCGTTTTAGAGGTTTCTTGTATGAACTTGGAGGCTTCTTGGACTCTCTTGGACCGTCTTGGAGGCCATCTTGGACCATCTTGGGCGAACTTGGAGACCATCTTGGGCCATCTTGGCCATCTTGGAGGCCATCTTGGAGCCGTCTGTAGCAGGACACACTTTGCAACCACCTCTGGAACAGTTTTTCGGGTTGCCGGCTGGACGGGCCGAAGCCCCAGGGGGTTTCCTAAAACAACCCAAACCGAAAGGATTCAGCACGCTGGACACCGCTGCGATGAATCAACAGGGGGCGGCTGATCGAAGACGCCTACGGCAAATCACCGCCGCCCCCTGCCTTTTTGGAAGCGCCTATGTGGCCGAACGTTGAGGCCAGACCTGCCACGCTATCGGACCATGTGATCCCCGAATCGGTTTGGAAAGCCTTCGGGGAACACGTGGGCATGATGAAGGTCATCTTGGCCATCTGGAGGCCATTTTGATCCTTTCGGGACGTCTTGGAGGACGTCTTGGAGGGCTCTTGGGCCGTCTTGGAGGCCATCTTGAGCGTCGTGGAGGCCTCTTGGGCCGTCTTGGGGGCCTCTTGGGGCCGTCTTGGGCGATCTTTGGGGGCACTTAGGCCTTCTCGGGCCGTCGGAAGGCAGAACAAAAGCAACTGCCACAATCCTTCAAAAACTCCTAGGGAAATCAATGATTTTGGCCTTTTTTGGCCTTCCTGGA